GTTCAGTTTAGAATTTTTCCATTAATACCGTGAATACTAAATTTATACTATGGCAGTCAAAGTCCTCTGAGAGCACCTTTAAAACACCAATTTTTCAGCTGTGATAATTTCCTACTTTTGGTTCCCAAATGGCTTTAAATCCTCCCACAGTGTTGCAACAAGAGTGGTATTTTCCCTTGGTTTTTTTCTCTCTTATCCTGCTTGCCAGGAGATAGGTATGATAAGTGTTTACAGATTATATCAGCATTACAGGATAGTTAATTGTACTGCAAAAGTACCATGCCCATCAGTCCCCAAGGCCAACACAACATTTCTTCCAGTAGCTCAAATTTCTGTGCAGCCCAGCAAGCAACGTGAACTGGCACTTTACCTTCTGGATAGCAGTATAATTTATCCTCCATGGTAATACTGTGAGGGATGCTAGTGGTGGATTTGCCACTCTTTCTCAGGGCTGGGACATGTTGGTTTCCTGCAGTGCCTCATGGCTCTGTGATCCTGGCTGGTGGAGTTATGCTAAATTGCAGCATGTAAGGTAAGTCTTCAAGTGCCCTATAGATTAAGGTCAGTCCATTGATTTCCTAAGGAGTATGGGCACCAAATATCTGTGTGTTGTTGGGTTGTTTCAAAGAACATCTGATTTTCCTGAATACTAAAAAAGTAAATCAACAAGCAGCCCAGAAATTACTGTCCACCTTTTTGGTCCTAAAAATCATTCTGCTCCTTCTCCTTCTCAACCAAACCACTGCTTTTGTTGTTTATTGGGGTTTTTTTCCTGGTTTCCCTGAACTTTTGTGACTTTCGCTGGCAGCTGCAACCAAAAAACCTCTTTGTTTCCAAATTTGCTGTCAGTTCCGGGGAAACCTCTCTGATGGCGCAGCTTATTTACTCTGCTATTTCTGCTTCCTGTTGTTTCAGCAATAACTGTGGAAGAGCATTTAATTGCTCTTCCCATTTAGCCTGGCTGAAGCATGCTCAGCACACCCATCTGCTTTAACATGACTTCTACATCAAAGTCCCACCCCCACTCTACAACAGCCAGTTACATCTTACAGCCTTATTTATCCACACATAAAAAGAGTCTTTATTTGAAAATAGAATCAGAGCTAGCTCTGAGAATTCGGGGGTTCAAATTAATGGAAAAAAACCCCACAAGTTATTTAAAGTTAAATTCTAGTGACAGTTTTTATTTCCTCCCACATTATGTAAGTACTGGAACAACAGAGACAGGTCATGCTTTCCAAACAGTTGAAATGACTTGGAATTGCAGAGGAAGTCTGTATTGTTAGGTTTCAATTAAGCTAAATTATTAATGATTTTTGTGTCTAATTGCCTTATTACCTTGACTACAGACAGATTCAAGTCAACAGTTCAAATAGCTTTTATGCTTGGCCACTTTGCATTCCATGTCTAAGCCACTAGTCAACAAGTCATCATAAGTGTTCCACAGTGGGTTTGCACAGCCTCCGCAGTTGGACTAAATGCTACACTTTTCAGGGCAACACCCTATCTATGCCAGGAAGTCTTTCCGTGTCCCTACTGCCTCGACTTCAGGAAACACTGAAATGGTACTGACACCCACCCAAAGAGAAGGAATACCAAAAGAAAATCAGGCATATTTCTGTTTGTCATGGTTTACCTCAGCCATCAACAAAGCCTCATGCAAAAGCTTACTCACTCCCCCACCAGTAAGACTGGTGAGAGAATTGGAACAGCAAAAGCTAGAAAACCCGTGGGTTGAGATAAAGACAGTTTAATAGGAAAAGCAAAAGCAGTGCACTCAGGCAAAGCAAAACAAGGAATGAATTCAGTGTTTCCCATGGGCAGGAATGTGTTCAGCCATCTCCAAGTGAGCAGGGCCCCCCAGCATACCTAAATTGGGAAGAAAACCACCATCACTCCAAATGTCCCCCCTTCCTCCTCCTTCTCCCCACTTTATACATTGAGAATGATGCCACATGGTCTGGAATATCACTTTGGTCATTTGGGGCCACCTGGCCTGGCTCTGTCTCCTCCCAGCCGCCCATGTATCCCCAGCCTCCCTGCCAGCGTGGCAGTACAAACAATAGAAGAGGCCTTGGCTCTGTGTAAGCCCTGCTCAGCAATAACAAAAACATCTTTAGATTATCATCGCTGTGTTCAACACAAATCCAAAACACAGCCCAATAATAGTCTCTGTGCACAAAATTAACTCTACCCCAGCTGAAACCAGCATACTATTATTGAGAGACTGAGAACCCATCTTCTGCAGCACAAGGCATTGGACATGAACAGGCTGCAATGAAATATGTTAGCTAAATTTAGGGACCAGACATCCCATGGCATTTTGTCTCATTTAGGCTTTTCTGTTGGTGCCATGGTACTGCAAACCTACTACAGTTGGCCAGTGTGCTATGGCTTAAACTATCCCTTAAGTGGAAAGCATTTTTTTGACAGCCCATGTTTTTAAAATGAAATCATTATTAGGTGCATTTTCAATGTAATATGGGAGGAGGTCTTTTGTTATTTTTTGTGGTTATTATTGCAACTAGAAAAATTGAATCCAAATGAAGGTACATATTAGGAGGAAGAGACTAAAACAGTCAGACCAAGTGTGAGCCTTGTTGGTGATTTCTGCTCTTGAATTATTCCTTATTTTGGCATTTTGCTTGAGCCCAGTGTAAACAATCCCACTGAAGTTTGTGCCTAGAAATGAATGTGGGAAAATTCAGCATGCAAAAACATGAGGTGCTTCCCTTGCAGGGAAGGATTTTAAGGTGCTTTCCTAAACCAGGACTGCAGAGGAGATGATGATAGGGGAGAAGAAAACACATAATGTGAAGTCTATCAATGTCTAATTTAGTGTTACCATCTATCTATCTATAGCTATCTATCTATCTATTTGGATATCTATTTGTGATTTTCTGATGGAAATGTGGGTTTATCAGAGATAAGCTGAGTTTTGCTGGATCTATAGCAGAAAGTCAGTGATGTCTATTTGTATCATTACACAGCATTTGTTTTTGTTTTTAAAAATTCCTGTAGTTTTGTCATGACAATACTTCAGATTGAAAAGAAAAAAAAGTGAAAACCAACCACAATACTTGATTGTGAAGTAAAACATTGTATGTTTCATGTAGGACAACTGGTAACAGTGCTGAAAACAGAAATATGTATCCATTAATTGGTCCAGATGACATGCATCTTTGAGAATAAGGTAGTTCATTACAGAATGTAAGGGCTCAGTGACAGTTGTTTATGGAAGTTAATGGAAATATGAGAGAAAGAGAGAAAGTAAATAGGACATATCTTCAGAAAAATAAAAAATAAAAGAAGAAAAGAATCAGAATCACAGTCAATTACAATTCAGTAAACCCACTTTTAAAGCATCGCAAAATAATGAAATTATCATTAAAGCTCCACATCTACCTGGGGGATAATGGAATAATAAGCAACAAACAATGCAGACACCATGGTGCCAGGGTGGTATGTGTGACAAATCCTCCTGAAGTAAATTGATTGGGAACTCAAAATCCTGGGTGAACAGATTCAAATAATACAACTTGAAACAGAGATTTTTTTTTTTTTTTTTGGAAGAAAGTGTTTTGGAAGCCTCTCTAAGGTTACAATTTGGTTCTGTTACAGGTTTCCCAGTGTAAAACACCACATTGAATTTCAAGGCCTCAAGGCTGTCTGCCTATGCAAGTAAAAAATATCTGAATGCCGGGGTGATGGATATGGAAAAAAATAGGAGGAGATTATAGAGTCTTACAAAATGATAGAGTAGCACAACAAATCAATGCGCTTTGGGGTTGCTGGTGAAGATAAGTTATATCCTCCAACTGCACAGAATAACTGCTCTTTATGTAATCACACCTGGGCTATGTCATTAAATTCCAATACCTCATTACTCGTCCTCAAAAAACACGGAAGAATTTCAGGGAATTCAGATCTGAAAAAGAAAAATGATCAGACTCTTGGAAAGAGTGATACACAAGGAGAGATTAAGTAGCTTAAATGTATAGCTTATCTAATCAATAATTAAACAGGGGAAAGATAATGGCTTAAAAATATGTAAGAGAAAGATAATTATTTTGCAAGATGCATGGTCCCAATTCAGCACAGTGCTAAAACATGTGCAGATCCATCAGCCCTGCAAAACACCAATGTCCATGATTTCAGTGGAGCTTCAGCACATACCTAAATTTAAGCATGCGTTGAAGTACTTTGATTAATTTGGGCCATAACCACAAGTAATAGTATGAAATTAAGAAATGCAAAAATGTAGGCTGAACAGCAGGAAAATCTTCCAAATGGTGAGATATATGAGACTGGGGAGTAATCACTCAAGGGAATTAGTGGAAACCTTATCCCTGGATGCATTTCAAGTTTTACTGGACAAAGTACTGGGAAAATATTCTTTGGGGAACAATCTTGCTGTTGCCTCTGGAGACAACTGCACAACCTACTGCAACTATTCTGTGTCTAAGTTTTTCTGGGCTGACTCACAGCATTAAGCCTGAGAGATGATTTTAAAAAGCACCAACAGCACAACAGGTTGGTGGCATTTTGAAGCTCTTCCTCGCCTCCCCCCACAATTTATTGGGCTTTTTCCATCTTCATTATATGCAATGCTATGAGAGGGGAAAAAAACCACACCACCACACTTTGCTTAGTGTTTTTTTTTTCTTTTCTTTACTTGCTGACTGAACATTGATTTAATTTTCATCTCTGCATTAAAACAGAGCTTAAAGATATAGAGGAAATCTAATTTCAACTTGTAGGGCTTTGTTTCATTCCCAGAGCATGTGTGGTGAATGGTGAATATCATCAGAGAGGTAATTGTATCTTGAAGAATCTTATATCTTTAAGTATCCCAGCAGAAGCAGTATTAAAGATTAGAGGGTTTTGCTAGTTTAATTTGGGTTTTTTTGGGGGGGTGGAATTGGTTCGTTGGTTTTGTGGAGTTTTTTGGTTGTTGTTTTCCTTGTTTGTATCGTTTTTTGTTTTTCTCCTCCATGCAGACCCTGGAAGAAAGGCTGTTACACAAAGGACTTTCCCAAAGATGAAGCAGTAGATTCTCCAAGGGTTTTTTCCACTGGGAATAATAATTTTGGTGAGTCAAATGCAAGGTCCAAAGAACAACGGCTTTTAAATTGCTTTGAAATCTTCTTTTTCTTAAATCAAGACTGAGCATAATTCACTTGGACATGTGGGGCTGTTCTGCAGCCATGTAGGAAAACGTGGCTTTGCAGAGATCTACTGGAAATGGAAATGGTTGAGAAAGACCTGCTAAAAATGGTAGATTTCTCTTCCTTGACTGCAGTCGATATTCTTTCTTTATTTTTGCAGTGTCAGTGAATGGGCCCCGATTTTATTATTGGGAACACAGAACTTTTGTTTATTAGTACTAATTTTCTACTGCACATCAATGCATCCAGAATAGCAGTTCTTACCCTTAAATACACATTTCTGTGCCTAACTAGCAATTCAGCTAGGAACATGTGTGAGCATCTTCCTGATTCATGGTCTGAGTTAACAAACAAGGTTGCTTAATTCCTTTATCCCATTTAAAAGAATGGCCTTGCAAGGTCTCCATCATCAAGGATACTTAGGAGCTTGTTAAGGAAAAAGCTGAGCAGGATAATTAACTGAGTGGATTTTCCATTGGGTTGGATCATTTAGGCTTTTCCAGCTCTCTTGGCTATAGTCAAAGCAGGGAGTGCAGCAGCAAGCCCGCAGGTGGGTCTGGACACTGGGATAAAGCATGGTGTGTTGCATTTGTCAGCACTCCGCTAATTAGAAAACTATGATTTTCTGAAATCTACTTTTTTGTTTGTTTTGTTGTTTAAAGAGCTTCATTTGTTTGGGACCTTCCCTCACAAACCAAACCAAACAAACAATTTGGTTTATGAGGGAAGTGTTAACATGTTCCAGCCAAGCACCATAATTTCCAGAGGTCCCATGCAAGCATTTAAGATTACACGTTAATGCAAAGGCAGGCTTCTTTTCCTCTTTCCTGGAGGTTCCTGACTCTCAGGAGATGAGGGGGATCCATGTTTGGGGTGCCAGGGCAAGGATAAAGTGTGTCTTTGTGCCCCAGCTGATGCCAGGCTGCCCAGAGCCCCATCCCTGTGCTGGGCAGCAGGGAGACCATCCTTGATCAGGAGGTGGGTTCTGATGGGCTGCTTGGATGCCGACAACAGGCTGAGAGGCCAATCGTGAGCTGGGGAATCTAGTGGGGAATGGGTCTGTGCTGGAAATACAGGCTGCAATTGGCTTTCTGGAAGGGCAGCAGTGGGCAGAGCGACCACACAGGTGACGGATCGGTGCCACAAAGGCAGGCTGCAATTGGCTGCTTGGATGGGGACAAAATTCCAAGCTGCCAATCGGGACACGGGGGATCCAGTGTGGAGTGGGTCCGTGCCCTGTATGGAGGCTGCGATTGGCTACCTGGCAGGGGAGCCAGGGCAGGGCGTCCAACCGGGCGGTGCGGGATCCTTTCGGGAGGGGCGGCGGGACAGGTGCTGGCGGGCGGGGGGCTGGGGCGCAGGGGGTGCGGGGGAAGGGGCGGCTGCGGGGCAGCGCGGCCGCGGCGGTGCGGCGCGGTGCCGGCCGGCTGCTAGGTGGAGCCCGCGTCCGCGCAACCCAGATCCGGGCCCTCGGCGCTCCCCCGCCCCTCGGCTCGCCGCCCGCCCGGTTCCGTGCGGCCGCCGGGCAGGGCAGCCGCGCCGCCCGCCGCCGCCGCCTCCTCCCCGGGCCCCGTTCCCCGTTCCCCGCTCCCTGCCCGGCCCTGCGGGGGACGCGGGTGCCGCGGGTCCCGCCGGCCCGGAGCGCGCTGCCCGTGTGCGGAGCGTGTGCGCTGTGCCGTGCCGTGCCGAGCCGGCGGAGCGGCCATGCGGCCCCCCCGCGCCCGCTGAGCACCGCGCGGGGCGCGCCCGCCCAGCCGCCCCCTCCGCGCCCGCGGAGCCGCCCCCTCCGCCCGCCCGCGCCGAGCCGCGCCGGGGCTGCCGGTCTCCGCAGCGGGAGGAGGAGGAAGAGGAGGAAGGATCCAGGGTGTCTGCGGAGCGCGGGGGGCTGAGGACCACCCGCCTCCCTCTGCGCGGGCGCCTTTGTGTCCCCCAGCCTCGGCGGAGCGAGGGGCCGCGGGCAGGGGAGCGGATGCAAAGAGCGGCTGGTACTGGAGGGGAGAGAGAGAGAGAGAGAGAGAGAAAGGGGGATGGTGGAAGATTTCTCTCCTTTTTTATTTTTTTTTTTTGGTGGTCTCTTCGGCAGCGGCTGTTCTTCCCCAGCAGCAGCAGCGGCGGCGGCAGCAGCGGCAGCAGCAGCCCAGGCAATGACTCTGCCGCATCCGAATCGCCTGGCCGGTGGCGCCGGCTCCGGAGACTTCACCTTGCTCTGAAGTTGCCCACCTGGAGGAGGTAAATCGGAGCGGGGCTTTCGTCCAGAGGGGTCGGCAACGGCGGGGAAGAGGAGGGAGCGATCGCCTCCCCCATCCCCACACACTCTCGTCCTCCGGGAGGCAGCTTGTGTAGCAGAAGAACACGGCAGAAAAGGAAAGACTTTTACTTCTTTTTTTTTTTATTTATTTTATTTTTTTTTTTAAATTTTTCCTTGAGGGACGTCCGTGCTTCTCGTCCGGCCCCCTTTTCCTCCTGGCTGGAGGCTTTGGTACTGTGGCCAGGTCTGCTTCCTACTCCCACCCCTGGTTTTAATGGCTGGATTGTGGCAGCAGCTCCCTGCTGCAGGTTGTTGAGGATCTGATGGGGACTCGCATCTCAGGAGCCGGAGGTGATTAAAGGTAACTAAACCAGCGGATGGATGCTCAGCAGCCCTTGCCTGGCCCTCGGCTGCTCCCTTGCCCGCTTGCGTTGGGATGAAGGGTGCCGGCCGCCCTGGGCGCACGCTCGGAATGAATTGTGCTATAATAAGGGTAGTTTGTCTTCAGGGAGGCTGGATCCTCCAGGTAACGGGGGAGCATCTCTCTGGGTCTGCATGCTGGGCGACAGTGGAGACAACGGGTGTGCATCTTGTTTGGAAATGCCTTGTAGGCTCCAGACTGGTTTGGCTGTGGGCAGCTAGGGTGGCAAAGGCAGTGAGGAGATGGAGGGGACCTGGTAGGTTTTGTTCTTGCTCTCCCTTGGTTTTTTTTTTTTTTTCTGTGAAAGGCACCACGTTGGACTGAGGGGTTTGCTGGTGTTACACTGAGGAATTCGTGAGTTTCATTATGTTTCCTCAATCTCCCCCCATTCTCCCCCCCTTCCCCCGTTTTCATGCCGACTCCTTCGTGGATCTGCGTTGCTGTTTAATAGCTGAAGGGTTCCTCGAGAAGCGATTGCTTTATTGGATATCAGGGGCCATGAGTGGGGAGGATGTTGCCGATTTGGAGGTGTGTGTTGGGGGCCGCCTGCAGTGGAGGTGAGGCGTAGGGTAGAGGTCTGAATCCAGCAGCCCCGGGTTACAGGTAGACGCGAGGAGCTTCGCCTTCCCGTGCAGCCGGGGAGCGGAACGTTCGGTGCAGGTAGGGATGTGCAGAGCTCCCACCTCCTGCCCGTGAGCCTGCGTTTGCTGGCTCTTGTCAGTATAGGACTGGCGTTTGTTTTGAGTATGGGCCGATATGTAGAGCTGGAATTGTATTTTTAATGCCTATTTCCTTTTTACCCTTTGTTTATTTGCTCCCTTAATTATTTATTTGTGTTTCCCTTACAATCATCTTCTGACCGCGTAACTTGGAAGTGCCGGTTGTAAGGCTGATGGCAGGGAGGAACCATCAGCCGGAGAGCAACCCTGCTTCCCGGTTTAAGGAGCCTACCTCCAGCTGGTGCCCGTTAGTGCTAATGAAGACGTAGCTACACTACCCCAGAGATGTGCCCTGAGTATTTGGGGGATTGCCTTCAAGGACTGAGTTTGATCAGCAGCCTTGCATCCAGAGTTGTCTAAGGAAGTAACGCTGACCTCCAAATACATTTAGTTGGGCTTTTTTCCTTACGCTTTCCCCTACAGACAGGCAGATGTGTAGTTTTGCTTGAGGGGTGGCGAGGTAGGAAAGGAGGCTCTCTTTCTCTCCCTTTCCTGATAGGCATGAGATTCTTCTCTGCAGTAGTTAAAACGACTCGTATTTTGGCTATCAGCAGTGTATTGTTTCTGCTTGTCAATTGTGGAGTTCATTACCGTTTTAGCGAAAACAACCCATGTCTATTTTATTTACTCCTTAGGAGTTACTGCCATTTCCACTCACAGTTCTGGTTCCAGGCAGCCAGCTGCTTAGAGGGAGGCTGAGATGCAAGGAAAAAGGTGAAAATGCCATCTGTTTCTTGATATAAGGCAGAGAGGTAGTCTGCTGGCTGCAATTTCTCTCTGTATTGTAGCACTCATTATTCCAGAGTGTAGGATCAAAATTTTCGAAGCTGACCAACAAGAAATCTTCCCTGGAGTTGAAAAGAAATAAATTCCATTTTCATTGTGGAATGCTGCCTCTTAAGGGCACAGCCAATGCTGCCTGCTTGGTATTGAGTAGTAGCATGTGCTTTGTAGAGCTCATTTATCATCATTTCCAGGGGTTTGCAATACGAACAGGCTTCTACTGTGCATTCATTAGGGAGAATTCTTCCATGGAGCTTTTCATGGGAGTAAACCAGGTGTTACAGGTTAAAATGGGCTGCTGTCAAAAAGTCTGCAGTTGTCACTTTAGATCCATGCCAATGTTGGGTGACAAAGTTCAGGTTAGGGCTCCATGGTAAAGCTGTATATTTTTCCTAAAGATTAAATTGCTCTGAGAGAACAGGAGTCAGTCCCTCTTGTTGTGGTTAAGGCTGCTCCAGTTCCTGCTCTTTAAGAGTACTTTAAGAGTACTTTTTCCTTATTTAGGCTTGATTTACTATAAAGTGACTGCTGTCTTGTTACCTGCTACTAAAAAATAAAGTGGACACAAATCTCTGGTGTGTTTATTTACAAAAGGACTGAAGTTTCTATAAAGCTAGTCTTCACCTCTGAGTTCCATACAATTTCTATTATTGAATAAGTATGTATTTTCCCGTTTCTTCT